TWAAWWRGAGCRGATTWCGTAWGACTGTGCAAAGCACGGATCACAACATGGACACAGCACGGCACGGTCACGGAACCTCGTCTTCTAGGATTCCGAATAACAATAAAGATTTAACAATACATCACTGTTACGGCACGGCACGGTCACAGCACGAAAGTACCGTGTTTTTTGCACAGTCATACGAAATTGACTCTAGTTGTCAGTGTTTCAAAGTGACTATGAGTGACTATTGAGTCGAATAGAAACAATGTATTTCAGTATTGGAATGTATTCAGTATCACAGAAAGTATGGTCCATGTTTTTGGAAATGGCTGAGCAAAATCCATGCGTGGTTATTTCGATAAATGATTTTGAATGGGGGTTTGCATGTTCATAACTGCAGTAAAATGTTCAATAATAAGACATWAAGTTTCCTGTAATTGCCACAATGATTTCTATGTGGYGGGCAGAATGATGGTTTTTATTTTTACAATAAGATAACCTTTAATTATTTGTTATAGACTAATAATCATAAGGCAGGAATATTTTTGTTAGCACACTTGTTTATATGCATGTGATTTATATTTGTATACCTTGGCCCTTTTTGGGTTTTGTTTGTTTCTTTATTTCCTCCTTTCTTTCTCTCTTTCTCTATTGCATAATTACTTTCACAGTTTTTTCATTTTTGTTTGTGAATGAAAACAATTAGAGTCCTTTGCAGATATTATTAGTATAAGTTTATAACCAATACTAACGATGTCTGCAATGGGAGGCTAGAAAAAAATCAGAAGCAGCTCGTAATTGTAACCATAAAATGCTTTGTTTTTTTTCCTTATAAAGTATCAAAAAATATATAATATATGCAAATGCAAAGCATTTTTTTTTACGTTTAAGTACTTGGACTGGAGTTATTTGTTCAAAAATATGTCAAGGTAATTAGGACATAGGCACAATACATGCATCTGTGAAGTTGAGAAATGAGAAAAGGAACTGGAATTCAGAATGACTGGGAAATATATATATTTTTTAATGAAATATAGCTGGAATACATTATTATAAGCCCTTATTGTATGATAATAGCTTCTAAAACCAGGGTATTTAGAGCCATTTGACACAGAAAAGTTCAATCAAAGGATAAAGGATGTTAAATTAATCTGTGTTTACTAAGTGGAGGTCTCTGAAAGTAGTTTGTTAGGACATGAAACGGCTCTTATAGTTTAGTTCAAAGTCTCCATCTGTAATTGTGCAAGCAAAGTTACTCTCCATTGTTGGGATTCCTGTGTACAATATTGGGAGCATGGTCAGGAAGAGTATTCTTGGGTGGAGGCTATAGGGAGTTAATAACCTTGAATTATTTATGTACAAAAAAATAACTGAAGACTAACTCAGGGTAACATTGCATATTTTGAAACGGCTATAAGTCAGTAGTAGTGTATCGATGAGAAATGATTTGTAAGATTGTACATTATATAAAAGAGAGTTTTTGGCCAATGTGCATGACAAATTCCAGTGCTATATTGTTGTATTATATATATTAGACTAATATTAACATAAGCAAAGAAGATTTTTTGTGAATGCCAGCATCCATAAATTTGTAGCAGAAAAGAAATGTACATATTTTAAGAGAAAGCCAATAAAATGTTTAACTGCAATATTTAGAAGTGTTGTTATGGACATATCATTCTAATCCCCCTTGGACCATAATCCTCAGTGTAAATAAAATACATGTTATTTACCGGCTGGGAGGTCTTGACAGGATGGACCTTGCTGTGCTTGGTCTCTACACAAAAGACGGAGGGCAGTGTTTTCCTTTACGGTCCGACCTATAGCCAGTAAATAACATTTTTTTCTTTATTTGTATTTTCTGCAACTTTGCTCTATGCAGCCAAGCTGCAGGTACTGTCGGACCGGGACTTCATGGTGAAATACCGGACCATGCCCTAGCCAATCACAGCGCACGAATGACTAGGATACCATACCAAAAAAAATGATGTTTTGCAAAATCGTAGAGTCATTATAACACAATCATTTTTCTGAAATATCACAAGTGAAGACAAGGTTTTAAAGCATGTTGACAAATAGCGTTTTAATGATTTTTTAATTGATAAAATAGTTGTACAAATGTAATTACAGTATGTACATTAATGTGATTATTTTAGTTTACGGCTTTTTTCCTATTCTTTTGATGCTTCCACTTTGAAGTCTTTTCATTAGCAGTGTTGTCTCAATTCTTGCTGTTGGTTCAGTTGTAGTGAATCCTCGTTTGATGTACTTGTCAAGGGTATCTGGTGTGATTTCTGGATCAATAGACTGGATTGCATTACGGGCATCTTCAACAGTTACCTCACTTAAAGAAAGAATGGAAATTTCATTCATTAAATGGTCTGTGGAATATTTTTTTTATAGTTTTTATGATTACCTGACAGTTCCAAGAGCTGTAGCAATGTCCTTGATGTATATAGACTGTTCTAGTTTATCTTGCTCGCGCACTTTGTCCACAAATGGCCCTGCACGCCCTTCTTCATCCTAAGATGATAAACGAACATTCATCATTTGCACATAYACTKAATACAATTGTTATTAAGGTGGTGGTGGGAACTAGTGCTAAAGAAGTGTGAGCTGCGTCGGTGTTTCTAAAGAAACAGTTTTGTAAATAGATAAAATAAAACCGTAAAAAAGTAGGTGAAATAACCTACTGACGTTTCGCACATTAAKCCTTCATTGGAGTAAGTAATAATGTAAGTTATTTCACCTACTAACTTTTTTTACGGTGTTAAATTTATCTTTTGTAAAGTCTTTTCTACCTCAGTGAAAAGGTTTTTATACTGTATTGTGTCACCAGGTGATTCTTGTTCAGCTGCTTTGATCAAACCTTCCATAGAATCATTGTCTTTCAGAGGGAAAAAYGTTCTTAGACTTTGCTCCAGGTCTGCTCGTGATATAGAACCCTACAAGTTAATAAAAATATTACATTATTGGTAAGAACAGCACATAGCAGCTTTATYRACAGGTACGCACCTGGTTCCCAGAAGAAAGATCGACTTTTGTCAGTGTATTGTAAAGTTTTTCCAGCATTACTAGTTGATCATGATAGACCACCTCATCGACCTAGAAAACAACATTATTCAGACTTATTTCAATTTAATTAAAGAGGTTCAATACAAACAGTCTCTTCTATATCTTAACACACCTCTTTCTGTAGAATGCCATAAAACAGCCCAATTCTGGAGTCGTGGCTGTATCTATTACAAGCATCATACAAGTTATAGCCCCATTCAAAGATCATATTCTCCACACCAAACCTTCGTTGGAGGTATATGTAGAGAAATTCTCCTAACTCTTCCCGTTCCCCTGTAGTTTTCTGATGAAGAGAGTATAAAACTATTGTAAGAGAATTGTATCAAATGAGTTGCTGCAAGTTGAAAGATGTCTGCTGATGGCATAGTCTCCTTCGCAGCCTCCCCTTTTGTCAGCTTCCTGTCCCTCCCTCTTCTTTTGGGTCAGATTGGTTCAACATCAGATTGGATCCAACACTGGCTGTCAATCACTTAAATCTAACACCACAAAGTATGAACCCACCTCAGCATCATGAGCAGCCTTTTCTTGCCAAATATCTTTGATAAGGAGTGAAGTGTCTCTTTTGCCAAGACGACGATTGCGAACTTGACCTTCATACCTTAAAAACCTGGGAACTTCAGGACCAGTACCCTGTTTGTCAACATGGAATCAGAAAGATTAGACAACAGCGTGTGTGTCGCAACATGTTATTATTTTATGTTTAAATCAAACTGTCAAAAAGGATAGGGAAGGTATCACTATACGTACCAGTCCCTCAAAGTATTCAGCACCAGACGAGGCTCCTGATTGGATCAAAGCRATGTCTTGACCTGTCATTTCRGCCAATAGAACATCAACAAGCTCATCACTAGTCCTKCCTTGTGATAACTCATTCCAGCGRTCATTGCCTCCTTCTACATACTGACCACATTTCTCCCACTTTGGTCTGTAAAAAGTCATATCATAATGTTATTACATTACCATATAGAAATATCCACTAGTCCAAGATGAAAGCTGCATGGAATTGGTGAGTTGTAATTTTGTTTTGTATATAGCAAGCATACATGTAATACCTTGGTGTAGCACTTCTTCTCATTTGGTCACATTCAAGTGACAGTTGATCTCTTTGCTCTACAACTTTCTTGTACACATCAAGTAAAGCACTAAAACAAGAAAAAACATTTCAAGAAACCATATGAAACCAATTATCATTGTCATAAACTGTCTTTCCATACAATAAACAAGTAAATTATGGCAATTTAAGCAGAGTTAAAATAGATGCAATGGCCTGTCAGTCATGGCTTGCTGGGCTGATGCCTATCAATGGTTTGCTGATAGATTGCCAGACACTGATCTTACTATATATTAATAAGTGAGCTGGCTCAAAGGCTGCCAATCATTGGCTTGGCTTTTTCTATGATTTACCTATGTTCTTGCATCAATTTCTTGTTATCTGTATCCATTTTCTCTCCATCAGCTAATGTTTTCTGCAAAGGCAAAGAGACAATAAATGAATCAAATGTGTTATGCTAGTAATATGGCTTGCAACACAAATAGCAGAAGAGTTATGCTCACATTATGAAGGGCTTCTAGTTTCTCAAAATCTCTTCTTGGTACAACATCCCCATAGTCAGCCTCCATTTTGGAAAGTTTTTGGTTTTTCATTTCCAGATCTTCCCTGGCCTTCCTGGAAGTGAATGGTAAAGAAAACATGTCCCTTTTCATGCAATAATTTACAAATTTTTAACCATGAAATGAGTAGAAATTTTCATTTTTATCAATTACAAATATTTTTCTTACTTCAGAGCAAGTTTCAAAAATGTCACATCTTCTTTCCCTTCGCCATCTTCCTCCATACTAGACTTGTTTGAGTCTTCTTGCTGATATTTGAGTTCATTTATATCAGCAATTAGCATTTTTCTGAAAAAAGGGTTTTAAACTTTCAATAAAACAACACTAACTGAATGGATTCATAAAAGAAACATTTGATAAATCTGCACTAACAGATGATGACAGGCAAAATGTACGGAGGATTGAGCAGAATCACTGACCCTCAACTATCAGGAATATAATTAACTAGCATATATTATAGCATTGAGTATCATAAGTTATACTCAGGACTCCAATTGATTACTGGTGCACACGTAAATGAAGGGGCCAATCTGATCCATCATTCATTGATCATGTTATCTTATCATTATATTGATTGCTAATGATGAGTATACCTGGCGTCACATTCATTTCTGTAGCGAAGATACTCTGCACTCAGCTCCTCTTGAAGCTGAAAATAAGGACATTGTTTTGAAAATTTAACTTTGGTGGAATATCAAAAAGGATAGCTAGAAAATACATCAGCTGCCTATATTTGTGTAAAATTGTTATTTAGAGCAAAAATGCCGCAATCAATGTTCAATACCTTTTGTACTTGCACTTGAAGTGAAATTTTGTCTTCTCTATGAAAAGAAAATAGCAATTTAATTACAATGTCCTCACAGCATGCAATGAACACACACCAGACTGGATTATAATATTAACCTCAAAGTTTCAATGATATTTTGAAGTCTTTGGTTTTCTCTTTTCATGTTTATCATATCTAAAACAAAAAACAAGTAAAATAATGAGAAGTTTGAACAGGACTTATAAATTTTAGAATGATTATGACATTGACATCTATTTTGGATTATTACATTTTAGTACCTGATTTTTCTTCTTGTTTCATGGCAAGTAACTTCTTTTCGCATTGCTCTGACACTGTTACTAGCATACTCTATATTAACAAAAAACAACAATTATTCTCAATCAGTGGAGACCGGAACATGACATGGTCTCTTTTACATGCATTATTTCTGGTTCTCAAAACCTGTGGTTATGAGGGAGAAATTAGAATCGTGGCATGTGCATCATTAGGTCTTATTACCTTGAGTGGTTCTAAATCTCTTATTATTTCTCTCTGGTGTACAAGCATCATCTCATATTCATGTTTGATGGCAGACAGCAGTGGTTTGTACGTCTTGAAATCTTCTATTAAATATTCAAATACTTCTCTAAAAGCCTGAAAATATAAATGTTTGATGACATTATCAGATCTGGAGATATTTTATTATATAAAGGGCTTCAAACAATGAAAATGATTGATACCCACTTGTAATCTCTTTTCACTGGGAACCATTTCAGTGCAATCAAGAGACCGCAGCTCTTTCTGTAAAAATGCTTCCAGTTGCTCAAGGAATTTTGGTTTATGTACTCCCTTTGGCATAAACTCATTACTCTGTTTGACTACACCAGGATTAAGATCAGGCTTGCTTGGACCAAGAGCATGTGCTGGCCAAATGTCTAAGGTGCCAGCTCTTGTGTCTACATGTGGTTGTAAAACACCTGACGGGGGGAGGGTATACTTTTCTGCTCCATTTGCTGAAGTTAAAGAGTAGCTTGGGCCGTTTAAGCCATTATATTGCCTGGGTGACTTGGTAGCACTGTGATTGGACAATGATCTGTTGTGATAAATACAAAAGAAATGTGAAAATACGTACAAATTATTGTACTGTGTTGTACACATACAATAAATGATTTACAGATCAGATAAGTGAAAACCACTACAACTGAGTATACCGTGGTATATAAAAACCTTTAAATTGTAAAGCAAGCATATATTGCCATGATATATTATGAAATACTTTACTATGGACTACATGTAAGTCTCTTTATAAAACTTGATATTACAATATCTCAGCTCACTATCATGACTGTTGAAACAAGTTTATCATCACAGAACCATACAAATATGCAAGATAAACTTTCCTTATCACAAAATATCATATAAACAATTCAAATCGTTTTAAAACATGAATGCCAGACAGCGTGTAATAAGTTGACAGAATGTTTGACTTGGTGAATATTCGCAAAAAACAATCATAATTATCATAAGTTTCAGTAAAGATACTTACGGCGGTAGTGGGGGTAGTTTTGTGTGCGACATAATCAATTATATCAGTTAAAATACTCTGAAATGACTCTTTTTATAAAGACGAAGTTTGACTTCGAACGTCCACCATATTGGATTTGTTGTTGCTATGTACGATTGCTTGGTAACTAGTCTCGATATGACTACCACAGGGAACCCAATATGTAAACACGAAAAAATACAAAGTACAATGATACAAGCTCAAAGGTAAAACAGGGATAGTTTTTAATTATGTGCACAAAAAGATAAAAACGAATCAATGATTAAGTAAAGAATGAATAAAAATGACGACTTTAAGACCATTTCCAGTGCATGTACAAAATAAAAATTGTTGCAATGTTTCTAGCAGTGTGTTTTTGAACACTTAAAATGAACATAAACAGTGACCTTTCATCGATTTGAAATCATTTTATGACAACAATTGTAAACAAAAGGTTAATGGCATCCTTTAGCTAGATGAGGTATTAATGGCAATTAAAAAACCTTTCAAATCACCATTGTGAAACAAATCCGTAGCTCTCCTCCAATGAAAACTAGGTTTATAGATAGACGGTGATACTGAGATGACGTAGTTGGCCTAATAACCATATTAGATTCTCCGCCGCTGTGAGTTCTTCCGCTTCGAATACGAAGAATCTTGAGGCGAATTTAAATGTAAACAGCTTGGATATGGTAGCCAGGATACCGTTGAGTTAACGCCGATAGTTGAACTTTTTATAAGAAATGTCGAATAAGGAAACCAGTGGGGCAAAACAGGGTCCCTTCAAGCTATATATTGTTAGGATATCGCCATGTTGCCGGGTCGTTTGGATGTATCTACTTCAGGTGGGACCATATTATCGACATATGTACTCTTACTGATTTGTTCTATAATTCTTATCTTATTTTTGCTTATATTTGAATCGATTATAGGTTTATAAAAGAAAATATACACATTGTTCTTGTGTTTACTTCAGGCAAACAGTTCAGTGTGAATAATCGCTTGGGATGTTAATTGATTTTCGCTTAAATCCCAAATACTCTTTCTTCTCCAGTTAGGACAGTTAGAATACTTTCAATTTTTATTTGAGTCTTTATGTTTATTGTCTAGACAATGAAGCAGAATCGTTTCTATGATACCACCCATGAGTGTATGACAAAATTAATAAATTAAGATATTAATACTTTCTGTGGGTCTTCTGTCTGTCCGCCACTGCAGGACATTTTCGTGCGATTCTGCGATGTGGGATTACAAAGTCACTTCATATATCCCGTAAATATATCTGCTGTTTTATGTGTTAGATTTCGCATCGAAATAAATATGTGTATATAGATGATTATAGACCACCTTGCTAATTATTTATGATGTTGTGGTAAAATTCGAAAATATCGAAAAGAGTCCATTAAAATTGAATTGTTATTACACAGAATAATTTGCCGGTTGAATTGGTGGATGTGGACGTATTCGAAGGAGAGCACAAGCAACCATCTTTCACCTCGTTAAATCCACACCAAGAGGTCCCGGTTCTAGTTGACGGCAAAACCAGTGTTTTTGAGGGGTATGTAGATTAATTRAYGATCCAGTTTCCAAGAAGTTTTAGCAATGTCAACAAATAGTACCATATTGCTACCCGAGATAATGAGATGCAAATTACGATGTACAATCATTATAATAGTCAGCCGGGCATACGATCTTACGCACGAGATTTATCCAAAACCCATTCCTGTATTCCCGAGGATATTCATATAGTGCACTTTCTACTTTATTCTATTTAGACAGAATGTTATGTACAACTAACACTGTGCTTTTGTCAGGATCGCTATTTTAACATATCTGGCTCAAAAGTATACGAATTATGCCGGATGGGGAAAGACACCCATTGAGAAAAATAGTGTACTATCGGTATTGGACTGGGCTTGCTTCGATTTACATAGGTAAGAAAAGTATGAATGAAATGATCGAGAAAGCCTTTATGGGTCTAAGGCAAAAAGGCACCATCGCTTTTTTACTTACTGGCTTATATTCCCGTTCTGCGCAACAGGGATGATTTGTGTACAGCATTTATTTGCGGTCCTTTTGGAGAAAGCTAATTGCGCACGTGACTTAAACGTAAGTCACTCGAATCTGATAGGTTTTTTGCCTTTTTTTAGAGTTCTTGGTTACAAATATATTTATCCTCATTTCCTTGAGAAATACCACCTAAAGACCCACGATGACACCGAAACAATGGTCGAAAAAGGAGCAGAAGACGTGACAAAGCATTTGGAGTTAATGGAAAATTTTTATTTAAAGAAAAATCCATATTTATGTGGCACAGAGCTTACCATTGCCGATACATATGTGGCAACAATTCTGTCGCAAAGTGAATGGTTGGAGTTTGACCTCGGATTATGGCCGAAGGTTGCGGCTTGGTTCAGGAAAGTCAAAGAACAGGAACATTGGAAGACAGTTCATGAAAAGCACGACGAATTTTTGTACAAGTTGAGGAAATGCCCTCATGATTGATAGGCATATGGACAACGCCAGAAAGAATTTTTGATTAATTAAGAGAGGACTTATAAATACAAGAAACTGAAGACTAGATCAGTAATACATAAGTTATTGTGCTCATGCATGTGCACGCTTCTTTTCAAGAAAGATAGATATCACTTCTCTGTACTGTGCGTAGAAGATAAGAAGTTTTTAACTGTTTTTAAAAATCCCCCTCAGCGTGATGATACGCAAGCCCCAGGCTATTCCTCTATAAAATGAGCTTTGAATCTGACCCGGCCCAGGAAGTGTCCTTTACAACGGAGCGGACCCGGACGCAATGAAAGTGGCCAGAACAACCTTGATGAATATACAAATATTCTGTCGTTAGAATGAAATAGAATTACATGTCATATATCGTTTTAAAATAAACATATTTATAAGTTTGGACTATCAAATTTACGGATGCATGCTTGGTTTCCCTGTGCCACAAGATCAGACAAATTTTAAAATTAAATTTGCGAATGCTTTTTTTTCCAAGTTTATACGGCTTGTAAAGTGAAAACAAG